CGGGTGCGAGCCCCCGCCTAAGAGATTTGAACTTGGGAACGCCCTGGCTCTGCGTGCGGGTTCGGCACCCCAAGGTCGCCTCGGCGCACCAGCTGGCACTGCCACCACGCGGTCCCTTGCCTGCAGCCTCCTTGTCCTCTCAAAGGCATCCGCTAGCACCTGGTGATTTGGCACAAGGCCCACAACGTCTCTGGAGAGTGAAGCCCCCAGCCTGATAGACCTAAAGTGGAAGTTGGGGTACCTCTGTAACCTGCAGGGGACCCTGGATTTCCCAGCCCTAGAGAGTCGTTTGAAGGTCCTGGGAAAGGGTACCAAAGAGCAAAGGGCCCTGGAGAGCACTGAACCCTCTGGACCTCCGACCACTTCTAGATAATCTGTAGCTGCCCTTCATCCTTACAGTTGCTCTGGCCCTTGTATAGCCTTCTGAGGGTGCAGTCAATCCTTTGTCATAGTAGCAGAACAGAAAGTCCTTGGAGTTGGTGGTCCTTAGTCCACTGAGGTTACTGTGCGGGTTCCCGCCGCGGCTGCAGCTTTCTCCCACACCTGTTCCACATGCACCCTCAAAAGTGCTACCTTACCTCGGGGGGTTTCTCCTCCCATCGCTATACTTCCTAACACAATTAGTCGAACAGGACCACAAACCCAGGCTAGAGGTGGAGCGAGCTATAGGCAGGAGGCAATGCCTCCCTGGGATCCAAGAATGGCCCTCGAGAAGAAAGATCTGCCTGCATTATTATACCCACAAGTTATTTCCGAAAGAACATTAGACAAATTCTAGGTGACAGAAAGGAAACTGGCAAGTTCAGGCTTCTGGAAACAGATGTGACCTGTTCCTCATGACAAGCACCCCGAGGAAGCAGACACCACAGCATTTTAAAAGCCAGAAGACTGGAAGTCCTTAAGGGGCTAGACACCATAGCGTTTCCAAAGCAGGCAACTGGAAGTCATGAAACCCAGGGCTTCACACAGAAAGCCCTTCACAGACCTAGGATTCAGAAGAACATCACATAAGCTGCAAAACTGCCTAGAACCTAATACTCACAACCCAGAACTGTGAAACTGGTGAGATTTTAGTGGGGGCCCCAGCTAACTAAAGCCTAATTCTTTTTTTCTGCTTGTATTGTGCTACAGTTCTGAGAAAAACTGAGTGAAGCATTTTGAGGCTTTCTGTGATTCCTTGTATGAATCCACAGTTATCTCAAAATTTAGGAAATACATATAACAAAGCCAGTTATCTAAAAAAAAAAAAAATCCAAAACTTTCTCCAACACAGAGAGAGCATCTGGGAAATAAGAGGCATTTTATGCTCCCTTCCCCCTTTTAGCACACAGAAACTTACAAACTGTAAACACAGCTATTCTGTTAGTCAACACCATTCATCAACCCACTACCAGGATACTTACAGAGACGTCATGAACAAGAATGATGCTCACTGGACACTCAAACAGCCTCAAGGGGAAGGGTGAGGAGACAGCTTCCTTGTTCTGTCCAGTCTCTGCCACGGCAGATACATCACGCTGGTTACCTCTCCAGATGCCCCTTTAACCACCAAAAATCCTTGTGAATGAGATAGTGCCTTAGTTCAAAGCAGTGATCCTTGGGGCTGGAGATCTTGGAGGCAATGTTCACTGCTTGTGGAGGAAGCCCAGATTGCTAAGGATGCTGTAATTAGAAAAACACAAGACTGGTTTTTTGAAAGGATGGGATGGGGTGGAGTTAGTGCTGGGATTGCCTCCAGCCTTGCCACAGAGGAGTGAACAGCATGGAACCAGGCAGTAGCTGGGTGGTACAGGGTTGTTGGGAGCACGTGTGAAGCAGATTCTTTAATCTGTGTGCCTGTGTGTTAGGTCACTCAGGGTGGGTGATTAGTCTTTGTCCAGACAAAAAAAACAAAGGCTTCCCTTAGAACCAGCCTAACGCTTGGCAGAAATAGTTTTTATTCTACTTTATATATAAAGAAAACAGGAAAAGAAATGTGAATGTTTGCCTGGAGGTAATATACATTGCAAGCTAAATTTCACCTTTTATTTGTTGTAGTATCTGCTTTTTACTTTAATTCTCATTTTACAGAAACTTGTTAGTGGAGCCTGGAACCTTGAAGTATTTGCACATGTTTGAGGTTTGTTTTCTGCTACATTCTATAGTATTGGACTGGAGTTGTCAGGGGTTTAAAACTTTCAAAAGGTTTACTGAAGCAGATGCCCTGAAAGAGTATGCCACTCTGTTCCTTCCCAAAGAAACTTTATTTTTTGTTTGTTTGTTTGTTTTGTTTTGTTTTGAGACAGGGTTTCTCTGTGTAGCCCTGGCTGCCCTGGACCTCACTATGTAAATCAGGCTGGCCTTGAAACTCACAAGAGATCTGCCAGCTTCTGCCTCCCCAGTGCTGGGATTAAAGGTGTGCACCACCATACCCAGCTTTAGTTTGTATCCCAGGCTGACTTGAGAGCCTGATCCTCCTTCTTCCACAACCATTGGGAAATGATGGGCTCAGGACAGTTAAGATGAATTAGAGAAAGAGAAGAGGGGAGTAGAGCGGGGAGATGGGAATTCGAGTTAAACAGGGAGAAGAGAGAAGAGAGTTTACTAATGTAGCCTTTTAACTTCCTGGTACCTAAAGAATGATGCCTTGCCCCAAGTTAGGGGAAAGTTGCAGTTCTAACCGGACTCAACCTACCCACTCCCATATCACAGTTGGGTGTGTTATTTCTCCTTCCTTCCTTCCTTCCTTCCTTCCTTCCTTCCTTCCTTCCTTCCTCTCTTTTTTAAAGTCAGGGTTTCTTTGTGTAGCCCTGATACTTGCTCTGTAGAACAGGCTGATCTTGAATTTACAGAGATCACCTGCCTCTGCTCCTGAGTCCTGGGACTAAAGGCATGTGCCACCATGCCCTGCCAGGTCTTATTCACAGAATAACCCCACACTCTTCTGGCTAGCTCAGGGACTGAGTGAAAGAAAGAGATGTCAGGCTTCCTCCCAGAGGAGATTAGATAGTGAAAGGAGTAGTGGGGAGGAGGGGAAGTCTGTATTCCAGAGATGCATGCCAGGGACCAGAAGAAGCAACAGCTGGGTGTGAAGAAAGAACACAAGCCTTGGCCCCTGGCCAGTCCTCTTAGGACTTCATCTCTTCATCCTCCTTTGTGAGGTTTATAAAAGAAAAGCAGATGCAAAGATAAGAATGAGGGGTGAAAAAGATAAGATAGGGAAGAAGGGAGAAGAAATTTTGCAAATACCCAGGGCTGTCTTAGTGTGCTGAGGGAGCATTCTCAGTTCTTGTCCTGAGAGAAGAAAAAATACCCATGTGTGCTAGAGCAGGGGATTCCTTGAAGGCAGCACTAGACTCTAACAAGTTGGGCAATGTACACAGATTCCAGCACAGGAGAGCAGAAGGCAAAGACGTCACTAAAGTATGGCTGCCATCCTCACTCAGAAGATTGCATTCCCCATGCTGTCTTGGTGGCCTTGCAGACATCTAAGGCCCAGCTCAGTCATTGTAAAAGAGCCTATCCTCATGGAATCCTACTAGCTTCAGCTGATGGGGTCACCGGCAAATGTTAAAGAGAAGCAGGAGTGCCCAGCTCCCTCAGAGGTCAGCTGCAGAGACTAGCTCTTGTCACACAGCTATCTTCACACAACTCTGTCACTAGCTCTCAAAGTCATGCTCTCTTCTTGCCAGTGACATTCAGGGTCCATAATGGTTGTTAATGACCACTATGACCAGCTTCTAGGATTGCACTTACCTGGCTTCTCTGCCTCTATGAATGCTATTGCAAATAGCCCTCCCATTATTAACTAGCCTGTAAATGCCCAGTTAGAATTTTGTCTTTGTATATGTGTAGATACATGTTCACGTGTGTGTGTGTGTGTGTGTGTGTGTGTGTGTGTGTGTGTGTGTGTGTGTGTGTGTGTGTAAATATAATCATGTATGTGAATGTAAAGCCAGAAATCAATCTCAGGCAGCTTCCTCAGCTGCTCTCCAACTTATATTTGGAGACAGGGTCTCTCTTTGAACCTGCAACCGATCAATTCTGCTTGGTTTCCTGGCCAGTGAGACAATCCTCCTCTTCTTTCGCCCACTCCGTGCTTTCTATATGGGTGCTGAGGACCTGAACTTGGGTCTTTAT